ATGTATGTACACTTCATACAAACCAAAACCCTCAGTTGATGTATGTACACTTCATACAAACCAAAACCCTCAGTTATTGTATGTACGCTTCATACAAACCAAAACCCTCAGTTATTGTATGTACGCTTCATACAAACCAAAACCCTCAGTTGATGTATGTACACTTCATACAAACCAAAACCCTCAGTTGATGTATGTACGCTTCATACAAACCAAAACCCTCAATTGATGTATGTATACTTCATACAAACCAAAACCCTCAGTTATTGTATGTACGCTTCATACAAACCAAAACCCTCAGTTATTGTATGTACGCTTCATACAAACCAAAACCCTCAGTTATTGTATGTACGCTTCATACAAACCAAAACCCTCAGTGATGTATGTACACTTCATACAAACCAAAACCCTCAGTTGATGTATGTACACTTCATACAAACCAAAACCCTCAGTTATTGTATGTACGCTTCATACAAACCAAAACCCTCAGTTATTGTATGTACGCTTCATACAAACCAAAACCCTCAGTTGATGTATGTACACTTCATACAAACCAAAACCCTCAGTTGATGTAAGTTCACTTCATACAAGGTTCTTCCTAATTGAGTCATTCGATGTATATAAACTCTCTGCATGTTCCCCTTATTTAATCAGTTAATGTAGGCGCACTATAGCGTGGTAATCTATAAATAAATCAGGATAAGGGTTTGGGGACCTTTTAATTCAAAAACCACCTTCTTGAAGCCTATAATTACTATAAATACAAAATTTATAAAAAGAAAAAGAAAATGACTTACCCTCTCTGTCAAACATGCTTTCTATAGCCGGTTCAGAAAACTAGGTTTTTTAATTAACAAAGACTCAACCTATCATCTTGAATCTAATTACTTTCTGATCATCAATATGGATTTTGATCTTCTCGTTCTACTGTTGCTTTGTTAACAGTTATTACTGATAGGTCTATTAGATATGGATATGGAGAGATACAGAGAGGTTAAGGCTATCACTCTCAACATTTCTGAAACTTTAGATAATATTTGAAATGCTAGTCTTCTCTATAAGCTCTCTTCTTACAGTGTATTAGATAACATCGTGCTTGCCACTTTCTTTCTCTGGATTTTTTTTCTTTTATCTCTAAATCTCGAATCCTACCTTTTATAGAACACTGTTGCCATATCTAGAGTAGATCTTCTAATGATGCTTTTTCTATTTTAGACAAGTTGCAAAAACACATTGTAAACATAGTTGCAGCCAACCTTTAACAATTGTCACATCATCTTTTGCTTCAACATAATTTGCTTCTCTTATTATTCTCTATAAATACTATAATGGACACTGCTCTGAAGAGTGCCATCTACTAAAATGTATTCTTGTTTTTTAAAATGTTTCTCATCATTCAAGCAATTCTCATCCTTTTACTTTTAATGTTCCTAAGTGCTCCAAAAATTCTTATTTGTTATTTTGTTTTCCTGATATAATCATATAATTCGCAATCTTTCAAGTTGTCTGCAAATCGTTAACTTGCTTTATAAACTTTATATTTGTCTTCAAGTAACTTCTAATTCTAATAGTGGTTGCTTGCAGCCTTGTTAAAAGTGAAGATGTTTGTAAAAAAAAAAAAAAAAACACTTAAAACAAGTGTGAAAGCTAAAGTTATTCATGCCAAATGTCTTTTTTTAGAATTAGAAAGCAAATATTATTAAGATTATTTTGGTTTGCAAAAATATTTTTTGTTAACCCATGGTCACACCAAGCTCTATATTTAAAAATGACTTAACTGAACAAGAAATATGCTGAATGCGAAATTAAAAAAATAAAATGGTGACAGACTTAAAACATTGGTAGGTGACTTACCTTAAGTTTTTACTCTCAGCTGCTTGCGGGCAATCGACCAAAATCCAATCGTACACTAGTAAGCGACCGGGGTTAACATTTGACCAGGACCGGTGCTGGGGCCAGGTTTGATAAAACATAGCCAGGGCTGGGGCCGGGTTTTTGACTGGGACTGCATGAACATTTATACATCCTAAAGTATATATTTTTTTATTCAAAATTCATGTTATATTTTGTATAAATATGAATATATAGACATCATTATGATCAACATAATCATCATTATGATCAACATAATCATCATTATGATCAACATAATCATCATTATGATCAACATAATCATCATTATGATCAACATAATCATCATTATGATCAACATAATCATCATTATGATCAACATAATCATCATTATGATCAACATAATCATCATTATGATCAACATAATCATCATTATGATCAACATAATCATCATTATGATCAACATAATTATCATTAATTATCAAGATTGTGATCATCATTATTATCATCACCATCATCATCATTATCATCAGGTTTTTGCCTTCCTCTTTTATGGTGAACCTTATTCATACAATATGTAAAGCACTCTCTTCAAATTTTCTTATTTCTATCATTACCAGTTTCTCCTGAAGCTGCTACCTTTCTACATGCTGATACCTAAATCATTTAATCTACTCTAATATTCCAAAAAAAAATCAAAAAATATACCCTAGTGAAAGGGCTACAATTATCTCATAAGATAGAGTATAGAGTATGGAGTCACTCTGTTGTTGATTGACTATTTATAAGAGCTGCACAGTGTTTCATAAGTTTCATAATTCATTTTTAACTTTATAGCTATTTTTTATACTTACAAAGTAATTTAAAATAGTGTTACTAAAAGTAATTTTTACCACAATTGTTAACCCTAAGTAGTGTTACTAAAAGTAATTTTCACCACAGTTGGTTACCTTGTAAGTTACTAAAAGTAAGCATTATTATACACTAAAATAACAAAAAAAAATAATTTGTAATTAGATATGGAGTTGTAGCAGCTCAAAGTTTGAATAAACCTTTATAATTTTGTAATATTTAGTATTTTATTTGTTTTTGCAGTTTACAACTGCAAAAACGAATTACAAAGAGTAAAAAAACAGTTGCTATACAAATGTTGCTACAGGCTTGCACTTTTAAAAAGAAGGTGATTTTATATGGAATGACCCTCCTGGTCATTTATATACTACAGTGTCCAAGAATTGTATTATTGAAATATTGTATTGTTAAAACATTTATCTATCTATTCATAGAAAGCTTGAACTACTTGAACTACCCATAAAAAATCTTGCAGTATCTTGTGATTTTCTGCCATTGGTTCTACTTATTGCATATTTTGATGGCAAACTGCCACCATGTGTTACCACATATATCACATGACCACTTTCAAATGTGTTTAAAGTTGTTTCCAGCTTAAATATTGAAAAATTGCTTAGTATCTTTAAGATTCCTTTAGTAACTGGCACTTTGATAAAGAAGAATAAAGTAGGGTTTGTTTACAGTATACTGTGAAAGATTTGATAAGAATGTAGTGGAGTTTCAGTGATGAACCCAAATAAAAATTTATTTGGAGATACAGCTTTTTTTTGGCAACAAATAGGAAGGAGGAGGTCTAGTCCCCTCCTCCCTTTGCAAATTTATTCATTTAACTTTTACTAAAGGTTAATAATTTTTAAAGTGTTTAAGGCACCTTAATTAAAGAGATATGTGCTGTAAACTTAATGATAAAAAATTTTTATAATTTTTTATCATTAAGTTTACTGCAAACATCTTAATAAATTATGTTTAATAAATAAGTCTAAATAAAACTTTTATTAAGTTTTGTATCCATAGTTACTTTTATAAGGAGCTAAAAGTTTATTCATTCAAAAATTAAATTTTTGTGATTGTTATTATGACTGAAGTTTTTACTTTTATTAGTTTTTCAGAGTTAAACATCCATTTAGAATATAGTTAAATATCCATTCAGAGTATAGTTAACTTTACTTTGAATGGATATTTTAAAATTAGTCTTTTGAAGAATTATTAAATTTTAGATATTAAAAATTTTAAATATTAAAAATCTATAATTATGTTTTTTCAAGTAAAAAAAATCTTTTAAAGAAACAAATTTTTTATACATTCGAGTGTCTTTAAATTTCATAACGGGTTTTTTTATTGAGTTTTGTGACAATTTTCATTTTTTTAAATTTAATGTTGGTTGAGTTTTGAATGAGTTTTAAATGTTAAATGAGATAAAGTTATTACTTTTTATTTCGCTTTATTGTCCTGGAGAAAAAATCAACAAATGTTTTATATTGCTAAAATAAACAGAAATTTAGTTATTTACAACTGCATTTAAAACCAAAATTTTTTTTCTTATTTATAATTAAAAAGCAATAATAAATTAAAATAATTAAAATATTTTTGGGCGCTTTTTTTTGGGCGCCCACACCACTTCAGCAGCACCAAAACAGGTTATTTTCTCTGGGTTTTTTTATTTTCTTTCAAACTCTTTAAATGTAAAAGCTTTAAAAATTAACTTCAATCTTTAGAAGCAGAAATTTAAGGGGCTATGATCAAGTTGACAACAAAATTAAGAATTTTTGTAAACAAGTATATTTAGTTTGTTAATTTATTTTTAGCATTCTGAGATAAATAATTTTGTTTGACTCTTGATTTACCAAACAAATTGTCTGTTTTTAAAAACTTAATTCAATCTTCAAGGCTGCAATTTTCAAATATTTGACTATGTTATGTAAATTTGATAGCAGAATGTAAACTATGAAGATTTAATAATAAACATAAAAGTTTATTAATAAATCTTTTTTGATTTATAAACACCCATGTTAATTGTTATTAAAGAAACCATTTTTTGTAATATTTAATGCATTTTTTGTAATATTAATGCTTAATCTATATCATATTATTTACTAAATAGTTATTCACAACTGACTCATTTTTTAGCAAAAAAAATTGTTTTAGTCAATTGAAAAAATTAATAATTAACATAATAATTATAATTAAAGTAATAAAAACTAAAAAATAAATAACAATTTTCATAAATTAATTTTATAAAAATCTTTATAAATGGGTTATAGTAGGTTTTATAGTGTTTTTTTTGTTTGTTTGTTTAGGTAGAAGAGATTCTCTCTAAAAGTAGATACTTAACTGGAAATAGTATTACCTTGGTAGATGTTCGCTTGTTTGCTTGTCTGGTTCGATTTGACAGTTGCTATTACACCTTATTTAAGGTAACCTTAAATGATAATTTTTTTTTTCATAAGTATATTTTTTTAATTTATTATTCTAACTTAGAAGAAGTTGTTTAAAGGGTTTGTGAAGCTTTAAATGTTTTTACATGTGCCCATAATATGTGCCCATTATATTCAAGTTTTTATGTCTATGTTTTAATTGATTTATATACACTCGTTTAATCATTTTCTTATATATCAGTCAATGTAGGCGTATTTGTTTATGCTTAATCCTTTAGCAGAATATAATGTATGTACTGTTATTATTGGATTAAAATTATATTTTGTCAAAAACAATTAAAAACAAATATGAAACAAATTTAATTAAAATAATTTTAAGAAATTGTTTTAAACTAAAAAATATTGCACCCACAGGGACTTGAACCTTGGTCACTGAACAAGATAAAAATCTACTATCCATAAGTCTATTATAACCATGTCTAGAAAAACAACATTTAACAGTTTTTGGACACTAGTCATAAACCATCAACTGTTGGTTATTTTGCTTGATGTTACTTTGGCATAAAACCATTAACTATTGGTCATTTTGTATAAATTGTTATGTATGCATTTTAAAACAAATTTTATGCAAAAATATTGTTGACAGCACAAATTATTGCATATATTGTTTGTATGTGTCAAAAGAATTATAAAGTATAGGATAGGGTGGGTCTAATCAACATGTATCAATTTTTTAGAGGAAAACATTTTTTCCCTGTATGTTATAAATGGTTAAAACACCTCTAAATTTTAATTATCGGACTATTAGGCAAATTCTTAGAGTATTTTTGATTCAAAATGGCACATACTTTTAAACAGATTTTTATCAAAAATCTTAAACTTTGAAAAAAGGTTCAAAACTGGCTCTAATATAAAAGATGTCTGAAAAATAGATGTCGATAAGTATTGTGCTGTTAAGAATCTCAAACTTATTCAGCAATAAATACTTTTAAAATAAAAATTTTGTAGCTATAAAATGCCTATGTTTCTGGATTCATGTTGCTATCAACCTATTTAGATGGCCATTAAAGATGTAACGTTATTTTTTCCATTGAAACTATAAACTGATTATGTAATGGAACATGTTTTAAACATTACAAATTTTTATTATAAAAGCATGACATTTTTTGAAAAATGAATTAGACCCTCATTACCCTCAAAAAAATGAGTAACGCGGGTCTATAGAACACAACTCAAATTGGTGCTCCTTAGACATCTTTAAAAGTTATACATAGACTTTTTTTAATGTAATTTACTACAAATGATGTCTAATTGTGATTTTAAGTTAGTTTTCTTCACACAAAAAAAGATTATTTTACTTAAAGATATTTTTTGCTCAGTATCAAAAATAGCTCAGTATCAGTAACTAAAAATAGGCTTAGATTACTTCATTCTTCTCTATATGAATGAAGTGTTTTTGCTTTTAATACTTACACAACTGCTATAGAAACAAATAACTCTAAATTTTAACACCTCTAAATTTGAATTATCAGCTTATTAGGCAAATTCTTACTGCTATAGAAACAAATAACTTATTTTGCAATAACGGTTTGAAACAAATTAGCATGTGTCCATTATGTTTCAAGGTTTTCATGTTTTCTTTATTTTCAATGAAGATATGTTATATGTTAGCTCTGCAGTCCTCCAAAAGTTATTTAAAAAAAAATTTTTAATGTTTTTGAATTGCTTGTTAAAGAGTTATTAACATCAAGTTCAATAATTAAGAAAAATGCTTTATGAATGAAATTCTTTATGGATTAAACCAATGTTTAGATGTAAGCAGAGAGTTCTTTGAAAAATTTCTGTCAAGAATTGTGGCCTTTGTTTAACTTCTTGATTATAAACAGGCATAAAAACCTTGGCTCCTTGTTGTTGTCTTTAAGTCAATCTTTCTTTTACCATATTGTATTTTCCTTGCAAAGCTTCATTAGGAATCATTTTTTCAAAATTTTCACCAAAACAACTTTCCTAAGAACAAAAGTTTTTATTATTGAAAACAAAAATTTTTATTATTTAATTATTATTGCAATAAATTAATTCAAAAATGTGTCATACAAGTGTACTTTATTCTACAAGTTTGGTTCTAGAGATTGTGAAAAATAAGTAACAGCAAGTAACTTATTTAAAAATAAGTAATGACAAGTAACTTAAAGTAACTTATTTAAAAATAAGTAGCAACAAATAACTTATTTAAAAGTAAGTAACCACAAGTCTAATACTCGATATAAATCTGTAGCTTTACGACTTCTCCTGAGGATGATAAAATTTAAAAGAAGTAAAATAGTAGTCAATTTTGGGACTCAGCATCATTCAATGGTGCTTGTTTGCAAAGAACTCATGCCAGTTATTAAACTTGAGTTAATGGCATGGGAAAGTCTCAGTCTTTTTTATAAGATAGTATAAGAAATTTGTGTAAATATGTTAATATGTTATTTAAATTGGAAACAATATGTCATTTAGATTTAATGTAAAAACCTCTGTTAGTGTAAAATGTTAAGTTTAGTTTGCAGGTCGCATATGGAATGATCATGTATAATGTATAATATAATATTTGTAATATTAGGTAACTTTTAAAAATATTCCAACATATATGTCTTTCCTTGTTCAACTATTTTGTACTGCATTTTTAAAAGCGCTAAACCGCTGAACTACTTAGGTGTGAAAAATTAAAAAATAAATTGATTTATAAACTTATTATACTGATGTCATAGTTCTATACTTTTTAAGCGGGTACTCTAAATAATCTGACTATATTGCATAGAAATTTATAAAATAAATATTTAAAAACCATAGTATTTTCTCCCAAAAAACACACGTATAAAAGTTACATTTAAATAAATTAAATTAAATAGAATGTTATTATTAATAGATATGTAATATGTAAATGTAAAAAACGGTATGTAATATTAAAATGTGAAAAATCATCTACAAATGTAAATGTACTAAAAAAGTATTAGTGACAGTGGGTAAGTTGAGTTTGCTGATTGTATATTTAAGGATTGTGTATGTATAATATAAGAAAACTTTTTAAACTTTTCTAACAATTAATTTTTTTTCTAACAATTAGTCTTTTTACTTAAACTGTTTTGTTTTTAATTTTTGTTTTTACGTTATTTTATTTTTAAATAATCTGTGAGATTAGAAAATGGAAAAAAATTATTTTTGCATCCAAGCTGATGATTATATTAATATTAATGCCTAAGTTAAGGAATTAAAAAAAATTCTTCTATAAAAATTTAAAACAATGTATTTATTACCTCTTCCCACCTTTATCCTCGTCCTCCTCCTTTATATTTCTGCTTGCTTAAATTTACGTCATATCTTAATAATCTTCCAAAACCGATAGAACTAACTTATTTGTCATAGTTAGCTCCTCGTGATTTACTTTCAGGGTCGTCTTATGCTTTTTAATAAATATAGTCTAAATGAAAGAGTTGAAATTCTATTATAGCCTTAACTTTTGAAAAATACCAGGAGAAATGTCATGCAATTAAGAGCAACATATAACACAGTAAAGAGATAAATTTCTCTATTAAAGAATGAAGATCTTAATTTTGACTTTTTTTTTCGAAATAAATAAACAGGGTGAAGGTTCTAAAAATGGTATGTGGAAAAAGTATGCATACTTAGGGCTTTATAGGCCTATTATTTTTTTTTGCTCTGAAATTTTTTTAAAATAAATTTTTTTTCTACTATATACTAAAAACTATTGAAGAAAAAAATAATGAAATGGTCAGTGTTGAATAGACTTACCAAGATCCCTATTTTACGGGTACGGGCAACTAGTTTTTAATCAGTGAATACTAATGATCGATATTTTTGCTCTGTTTATTTTTTTAACTGTTTAATTTATTTTGTTTGCAATAAAGAAAAAATTCATTTTTTTGAGACGATTTAGTAATCTCAAAAAGCCAGAATTATTAACCAAATAATGAAAAAATTTAATCACAACTCCCATTAAAGAAGAAAATAAAAACTTTAACATAAACATTTAATACTGATTTAATAAAATAAATGACCAAATCAACTCACAAATCATAGCACACACATTTATAATTTCAGTTTCAAAGTTAAACTCTGTCATCTTTTATCTAAAAAAAAAAATCTTTATTTATAGAATTCAACATATTCTGTGATATCCGATCATAACAATCCATATTCTGTGATATAATACATGTTTTAACAAGTTTCAAATAGTTTGCAAGATCAATAACAATCAAATTAATATAAATAGTAAAATTTTGCAACTTGCAGTTATTTTTTTGTTAGATTTGACATTTTTTTCTTTAAAGTGCTCAAAAAAACTGATTAGCTGTTACAAAAACTTATGGGGATACACAAGAGATATTTACCAAACTGGAAATGTCAAAAATATGATCAACTTTAGTCATATTAAATCATTATATTGGGTGAGTTGATGTTTTATTTTTCAATTATTTTTGTCAAAATAAATTTTTTTTTCTGCTTTATTCTCAGTTAAAAACTTATTATAATGAGCTATTTTAATTAAATATAATTTATTATAATTATACAATTATGAAATTGTATTGCATAAATTATATTAGTAAGATACAATTTATTAGTAGCATATATTTTTTTTGAATTTAGTAGCATTTGTTTTTATAATAACATTGTTGCCTAGTATGTGTTTTATTATAATACCTGAAATAGCACTAAAATAAACTAATCAATATATTTTATTCATTTTAATATTTATTGTAATTTCCAAAGAGATTTCAATAAATTGTAAAATATATTATATTATTATTATTGTCACAATTAAATAATTGAGACTGTAATATATTATTACCGCAAAGACTTCTTGGGGCACTTAATAAAAAAAATTCCACACCAGCACGGGGCAGTGGCTCTTTTGGCTAAGAGTGATGGCTTGTGGCCTATGGTGATTAATGTGTGCATTCGATCAATTGAAATTCATTCTGTAGGTCTCACGTCTGGCTCTGATGTGCTAGCCCATAAGCGCAAGAAGTGAGTGTGTTTAGCTTTCTATTCACCCGATTTGAAAGTGAACGGAAACATAACAAGACCATACTAGATGACAAATGGTACGTACTAATGCACTTTACTATCACACCTGTAGACATCAACAGTCTTCAAAATTAGTATATCAAATATTTGTTCTTTGTTACATATGATCTGCACACAGAGTGATTAGAGTGTTAGTTGGTTTTCTAAACTTATTTTTGCGATCAATGTGTTGCATAAGCAAAAAAATTTTATTCTTTGTGGCTGGTGAATGGTGTGGCTTTTATGTTAAATAATTATATATTATTCTCACAGTTATGCGGATTTCAATAAATATGTAAAAAAAAAAGACAAAAAAATGCTAATAAAGCTATAATGATTATAAAAGTTATTAGCCTTATATTTTTTTTAAAAAACTCATTAAAATTTATTTTAGATCCATGTTAGTTAGGTTGTTAAATCTATTCAAAAATTTAAATTTATTAAATTGTATTAGATTAATATACTTCTAGAGAAAATATTTTTTATCAATAAAATAGGACCAAGCATGTAATCAAGGGTTACGCTGGATGACCTTTTTTTTTTTTTTACAAAATAAATGAAACCTATTTTTCATGTCAAGTCAAACTATAAAATGCATACCTATGTCTGCTGGTGTAATAATAGAATACATAGTATTAATACATATATGCATATGTTTACATTAGTTTATTTTATATGGTTGTCAATGTGCGCTAATATATTAGTAAATATATCAGTGCTCTAATAAATTTACCAATATATTGAGAAAAATAAGCTGATGTTGAGAGATGATTGAAACTTTTTAATGTTTCTGTATCTTTCTAAAAAAAATTAATCATTACATGTTTTAAAACAAACTAACAACAGACCTGCCATTCATATAAATGATATTATATTTTGAAAGTAACATGAAAAGATAATATGTATTTAGTCTAGTAGTGTTATAACTTTATAGTGCATCTTTTTATATATACAAGTTTAAAAGTAGGAAAAAGTTCTAAAATAAATGAATTACCTGATTTATTATAATAATATATTTATCAAAAAACTAGGCAGATGGCATAACTGTAGCTCTTCTTTTTGAATGTATAAAAAATTTAAATCAATCAATTCAGTAAGTTAATGAAAAATGTCTGTGATTGTGTCTATGAAAAAAAAAGAATCAGTTAATTTAGCATACTACAGATAATCTAAATTAGATAAATTTTGTGAGGGTACTTATGACTAAGTAATAATTAATTAGTGCAACATAAAAGTTAAGAAGCTTTTATCAGAAATTGATCTCGTATAGAAGTGCTTATCAAATCCTTTTAGCCGTGCTTGATTTAGTAATAAAGATTCTATTGTTATGTCTTGGATGGAATTGCTTGTTTTGATAGATTTCTTGCTCGATTTTTTTATTTTTATTGCATAGTGATTGTTCTATGAAAGTAGAATTAAAGTTGTCATAGCAATTGTTCAACAAAAGTAGAATTGAAGTTGTCATAGTAATTGTTTAACAAAAGTAGAATTAAAGTTGTCATAGTGATTGTTCTACAAAAAAATATTCTTAAAGTAAAGCTAGTAAAAGTTGCATAGACCTTTGCAAACATAATAGTTGCAACAATTTTAATGATAATCAAAATCTAAAAAAAAATGATGGCAAACACTCAAATTAAGTCTGATATGATAATTATTCTGCAGGAAAGAACCCAGACGTGTTTTAGTACCGTTTTACCGGTATGGGCGCCCAAAAAAAAGCGCCCTTAAAATATTTTTAATTTTAATTTTTTTTTTTTTTTTTTGATTTTTTATGAAAAAAAGTAAAAAAAAAAAAGTTTTAAATGCAGTAGTATATAAATAATTCTCAGTTTAATTTAGCTACCTCATTTTTTCTTCATGAAAATAAAAAGAATTAAAAAGAAATTTCTTTTTTACATAACTATGTGATGTAATTTGCCTTTGGTTATTAACTAAACATAACTTTTAAAAAAAAGAAAGTCGTTACAAAACTTAATTTTAAAACCACAATGCAAAATTTTATATCAATGGAATGTATAAAAGATTTGCTTTTTTGAAAGTTAAAGCGTTTTTAAATATCCATTCAGCGTAAGGTTAATTTTTGTTTTTAGCAATTAAGAGTAAACTGCTTTTGATAATGAATGAACAAAAGTAATAAATAACTTGTAACTGTTACGCAAACTTGTAACTATCCTCGTAACTATCGCGCAAGTTTAATTTTTAAATGAATGAACTATTGATCTTTAGCTTGCTATTTTAGTTACGTGAGGAAAAGGAAAAAACAAAGTATAAACTTTTTCAGACAGTTTTTTTCCTTTCAGTATTCTTTTTGAAACAATAAAAAAAAAAGGTTACAATAACTTAATAAAAGTTTTAATTAGATCTGTTTAAAATAACCCATAGTAAATGTAATTTATTTATTCAAATGTAATTTTTTAAATTATTCTTAAAAAATAAAAATATATATATTTTTAAATATATGTTTTTTAAAATATAATATGGTTTTTAATCAAAATAATAAAATATTTTTAAAATTATGTTTACTGTAATTATCTCTTTAATTATCTTTAATTTAAAAGGCGCCTTAAAATCACTTAAAAAATTATAACCTTTGGTAAAAGTTAAATGAACAGATTTACTATTATTTAAATCAAAATTTTAAATTTTAAATAATAGAAACTAAGTTTATTAAATGCTTATGTTTTTATTCAAATAGTTTAATTAAAAATGTTTATTAAATGCTTATCGAATTTCTATATTAAATGCTTATGTTTTTAAATCAGATATGAGACATTAAACTATTTTGTTGATTTTACAAATATTATGCAATATAGTATATGTAAATATATTATGTAGTGTAAATATAGATTAAAAGTTGTTTAAAATATTTTTAACCATTATTTTAAATTAAATTTACTAAAATATAGTTAATAACTGTTTAAAATACTTTAAACAATTTTCAACAATTATTTACTGACACCGTGGTATATGCAACAAAAACGTTTATTAAAATCTAAAGTAAAGTAGTTTTCTTTTAGCTAAAGTAACATCGTCCACCAGTAAATTCATGTATTCAAAAAATGCTTTTAAATCAACACCTTATTTTAGGATAAAACTGAACAAAATAAACATAAATGATTATTAAGAAAATGATGATTAAAAGTTATTGTTGCGGTACTCGTTTAAAAGTTATTGTTGCGGTACTCGTTTAAAAGTTATTGTTGCGGTACTCGTTTAAAAGTTATTGTTGCGGTACTCGTTTAAAAGTTATTGTTGCGGTACTCGTTTAAAAGTTATTGTTGCGGTACTCGTTTAACTAGAGGAGAATAAGGAGAAGGGGGAAATCAAAAACATAGTCCTCCCCCCTCCCCTCTCAACTTTGTTGATAAAAAAACGGTATCCCCAAATAAACTCTGGGTTCTTCACTGTTCTGGTAACAATAGTGATTTATCGACTAGATTTTTTTGTCTTTGTAATCATTGTTAGTTTTTTTGTTTATGTTCTTAATTCATCAGCAGTAATAGAAATAAAAAATTCTGATAATTATATTTTTTACCTTCCATAGGTAGAGAGGCAACTTCAGTCAAGGAGGTTACTCTTTTTTTTTTTAATTGTTGTTACAACCTTCCCAACCCTTGAACTCTGAAATGCAAGCCTGACAAACACAAGTCAAGGCTTTCTCATATTTCATCTCAAGGCTCAACTGATCTTTTAAATTTAAAATCCATATTTTAAGAATTTTTAGCCAATACAATGACGAATAAATTTGAAATAACAAGTATTAATTAATTTGAAATCACAGGTATTAACTAATTGGGTGTAGAAATAATAGAGCTTTGTTTAGAAATGATTGTTTTTAATAGAACTGTTGCAGTTAAAACTTTAGGTGCTTTTTATAAATGACAAATTTATGGCCTTGTTTATTTAGTTAATGTGCCAGTAAAAATCTGGAACCTTTAATGGATTTAATCAGTTTGTTTAGCTCTTAAATGTTTTTTAGAGTTTAGTTACTAAATGTTTATATTAAATATCTTTCAAAGCTTCAATTCAAAGCTTTTACTACAACAGAAAAAGCCAGCCTAACATAACAATTGAGGTTTTAATAATACTGAAAAGTTATTTATTTTTTAAGGAACAATCAACTATATGTCCTTTAACTTATTGTTTTGTTTAAACTGTTATACTTGGAGCACTAGTCTGTTAGTATTTTGCATAATAAAATGCAATGCTTATCTAACATGTAAACTATAGTCAGCAATTACAATGGTATTATATTTTTTTTTACAAAAAATAGTCGTGATAATGATAAAATTTCAATTAAATTCTAAATAAATAGGCATCTTTTCCTATAAATGAAAATAAAACAAATTCATTTTTCCCCTTTTTATAACATTTGAAATTTAAACAACTGAATTCTGGAAAGATTTCATAGTTTTAAATTTGTTTTGAAGTTTCAAATGATTTTCACTTTAATTAGGAATTATTTTGAATAAAAAAACAATGCAAATTTGCGACATTTAACTATAACTCAGCTACGTAACAGGAAGGTTAGATGATTTTTATTTGATACTAATTCTTTTTTGGCAATTATAAAACTTTGAAATGATCAATAAACTAATGTAAATAATAGGCAAGAATTTGGAAAAAAGAAAAAGAAAGTTTTTTGAAGTTATACCTTTTTTTTCCCTACTTTTTTTCCCCCTACCTATAAATAGCTTCTTCTGTATATGGGCTTTTTTAGTAAATTTCTGCAGAGGCATTTTGTTACTGGCTCCATCTTCTAAATTTTTTATGAGCTGCTAAACACTTACCTAAACACTAAAAACACTTATGCATTTATCTTATATAATTATCTTATACTTATCTATTTATCTATTTACTAAAGTTGTTTATTACTTATTGACAAATTTGATTTTTTTAATTTCGCTAACAATTTTTAAAAATGCTTTAGAATATTAGGCAACAACATAAAATTAAATTAATGTTGCAATGACCCAACATCTGTAAGAATTCGGTGATATTTAAGTTGATAAAGTTGAATAAATTAATTTTATTTACTTGTAACTTTTTTTAATACCTTCATAGAATGGTTTTTCTGGTATTTTCATAAAAGTTTTTTGTATGCTTACGAAAGTGATTGATTTTCTACTTTTTATTATTCATTAATTTTTAAATTTTATTATTGTATAATTATATTGATTTTCAAAAACGAAAAAATTAGGAATTTTTTTGTTTTTGAAAATCAATATAATTATACATTTTTTTATCTCCATTGACAATTTTATTGTAAAGCTTATATAAACTCATTTTAAAACAATAATTATGATTGTTATTGATTGTGACACGTTTATCTGTGATGCATCAAGATTATTTTACATATAATAAATTTTAATTCAAAGCTTATTTGTTTATCTATTAAATGATCAAAAATTGATTAGCTGCATTTTTTTATATTTTTTTTCTTAATTTTGTTTTTTTTAATTTGAGACTTGTAAATAATATAAATTTCTTTGTGTTTTGACTTTTGCTAGTTAAACAAAACAAGAAACCCTAGTTTAATTCTTCCAATTGATCCTTGTGCTGATTTTTCAGAACCAAATAATAGAGAACATGTTGGTAATTAAGGTAAGTTTGTTTAATTTTTATTATTATTTCCTAGATTTTATTTATTTGGTTTTAGTATGTATATTTTAAATTTCTAGGAAAAAAAATTTTTTAAGTAATTATTGTTGCTGTTTAAAAGGAAGGTGTTAAAGTATGATATAAATTGAATTTATTTAGATATATATAACTATAAATGTGTGTTTAGATAAGCATTGTGACATTATACTGAAATAGCCTGCTGAGGGGGACTTCAGTATAAACTTTGACTATCTTATAGTCTGCTGCGTCAAAGGTTGCTACACTAACTATCATGATTAAATATTTTTCATACAAAGGTTTTTCATAGATGGATTGTACAATTGGCATCTTTAAATTATGTTCCACTTGATAATAGGCATGAAATGTAAGCACCTTTTAAATTAACAGTGCTTTTTAAATATCACAGTGCTTTGTAAATAACAATCAAGCCACTCTTTACCCAGGCACTCCAGATGGAAATAAAAAAGTGAGTTTTAGAGTTAGTGAAACCGCATTCAAACTTAGATACGCTAACCATACAAAATCTTTTTGTATTTAAAAATATAAAAGCGTTACTGAATTGTCTAACAAAGTATGGAACTTAAAAAAAAGTAAACCTGACAATTGAATGGAAAATTGTAAAATGTTGTAGATCTTACAATCCCACAATAAAATAATGCAAGCTAGGTCTATATGAAAAATGTCAAAATTCAATATGTGTGATTATTTTTTAGATTTCTCTTTTTTTCTTATCTTTTTGTTGTTTTTGGTTTTGAGCACATTCCACTGTAACTTTATATTTTAACAGTTTTTTTGATGCTTTGAATCAAGTTTTTGAATATATTTGATGCTTTGAATCAAGTTCTTTAACAAGTTTAAAAATGAATAAAGTAACAAAAACTGTAAAACACAAAAAACCATTCATGATCTTTGAAGTAACTTTTCGTCTGTTGAGTCTTCTCTTTTGCAAAGTTCACCAGACCTACTTGCTCCTTCTGAGACTAATTTGAATTAAGCTGTCTCATCTTGTGATCTTAGTGTTGATGATTATCTTCATTTAATTCGTAAAGACTCCAGTAATCCAAGTTTAGCCAAGGCATTTACATTCGTAAGAATTCACCCATTTGTCAGGAAACTAGGTTTGAATTCACAGGCTATTCTTTTATGTGCTTTCGTTTAGCACCACTTCACCTTTCATTTAGCACCACTCTATCGCCTTTCTTTTTGTACTATATCGCTCTCCATCTAAAGGCTGCACTCTTTTTGATGTTATTTCTGATCAAATTGGCCGAGCCCTCTCTCTTTATCCATCAGCCAATATCGTTGTTATTGGTGACTTTAATGCACTTTAATAACACTTAATGACTCGGCTCTAGTGTCATTAACTCTGCTGGTGTTAAAGCCTTTAACTTTTGCATTTGAAAAAAAGTTAGGCTCTCTTGACTTCTGCAGAATCTTTAACAGTATCAATAATAAGGGCAAATCTGTCATTTCACCTCTCTTGTATGGTTCAGACTTTGTCACCTTAACTAAAGATAAAGCTGAATTGTTTGCTGAGAACTTTTCATCAATATCATCTCTTGATTCCACTATCTGCGTTCCACCTGATTTTGCCTAGTTTTATTGTGCATTAGATAAAGGTGGAGAGTTTTAGGTCATCGCTCTTGACACTTAAAAAGCTTTTGATAAAGTTTGGCATGCTGTTTTTCTCCATAAGCTTTCTTCCTACAGTGTATCTGGTAACATCTATAAGATTATTGAATCTTTCCATTCTAATTGTAGTATTAAAGTTGTCCTTGATGGACACCACTCTTCATACTCTGTAACTTCAGGGGTTCTTCAAGGTTCAATCCTATTCTTTTTTAAATTTGCATTAATGATCTTCCAGATATTCTCACATCTAAGATGGCTTTGTTCTCTAATGATTCTACCGTTTATTCTTGTCATGATAAGAAGCCAACACTCTCTGATTGCTTGGAGGGGGCATTTGAGCTTGAAAAGGATCTCACTTCTGCTACAGCATGGGGCTCACAATGGCTGGTGCATTTTAATTCAGATAAAACTCAATTTTATTCAGCCAATTGATATTGCAATAATTTTGATCTTCCTATATTTATGAGCGGTAATATACTCGATGAGTCATCTACCTTTCATCTTCTAAGATTAACTTTTACTTCTGATCTTTCTTGGAAACCACGTATTAAATCCATTGCAAAATTAGCATCTGCTAAGGTTGCATCTCTTTATCGAGCTCGACACTTTCTTACTGTGGATTCTATTCTCTATCTTTATAAATCTCAAATCTGGCCTTATATGGAATACTGTTCCCATATCTGGGGCAGATCTTCTAATGATGCCCTTTCTCTTTTAGAGAAGGTGCAAAAATGCATTGTAAACATAGTTGGACCTGCTCTTGCAGCCAACCTTCAACCATTATCATGTCGTCGTAATGTTGCATCTCTTTTTCTTTTCTACAAATACTATAATGGGCACTCTTCTAAAGAGCTAGTGTCTCTTGTGCCATCTACTAAAATTCATTTTTGTGTTACTTGTCATTCACTTAGGTCTCATTCTTTTTCTGTGACTGTTCCTAAATGTTCCAAAAACTCTTATTTGTCTAGTTTTTTTCCTCAAACATTAGCTCTTTGGAATTCGATTCCTTCATCTTGCTTTCCAGATTTATTTAATTTGCAATCTTTTAAGTCGTTGGTCAATCGCTATCTTGCTCTACAATCTTCATCTTTTCTTTTCCAGTAACTTCCAACTCTAATAGTGGTTGATTGCAGCCTTCTTGGAAGTGATGATGTTAAAAAAAAAATTTGCTTTCGTTGAAAATAAGTCAAACCATTTTTTTTTTTTGGAACATGGAGGTTTGAGTTATTGGGAATTAACTTTGTGTGTATTAGTGTGTTTCAAAAAAATGGTTTTTTTGAATTTCAACTTCCATTACAGGCCTTGTGATAAAGCTGGAGTGATTTCTTTGTGCACATGAAACATGCCCGTAAATGGCCTTCCGAACCCAACAAATAGCATTCACTTTATTACGAGAGTAACAAATTGCGCTTATCTGAAGAATTTGTGGGGGAGAAAGTTATAAGTTGGTTATATAGAAAATATTTTTATACAAAATGTTTTTTTGCTGAAATTAAAATATGTTTAAACAGTAGAGTTTGCATATTGTTAAATAAAGAACTTATATTCATAATAACTATATTTTTATTGGTTTTCGGACCGTTCGCTGAATCGTACAGATTTTTAAGGTTCATTTGATAAAAAACTTCCCTTAACTAGAACTTTTACTTTGAATTGCGTAAAAGTTCATGTAATGAAATATCAAAACTTGCAAAACTTCAATAAAAATTCCAACTTTAAATGTTTAACAAAATATTGCTCAAGATGGTTTTAATCATTACATGCACTGCATTGTTTTCTATAAGGTGCACCCCAACCTTGTTATTACTATTGAAATTTTTTTTGTTCATGATTTGACCATTCTATGACATCCCTTAACGATTTTTGTCCCTCTTATGTCCTATTTTTGGATGAGCTGAGGGAAGTGTTCCCATTATGCAAAATTTTTCTTCCAATTTTTTATTGTTTTTTAGCCTAGTAGAAAGAATAGTAAATACAATGTTAAGCATAATTTATTGCAATATTTTAAAATGAAGACCAAAAAAGATCAAAAAATAAAATGCTTTTTTAAAGCATTTTTGCATGATATTATTCTGTAGATGGTAGTATTCTGTTTGATCAAATGGCTGATATGTTTGAAATTTAAAAACCATGTAAAAGCTCATAAAATAACTATTTTAAATAGTCAATAAAAATTTGAGATTTGTAACAAAAACAACATTACAAACATTAAAAATATTCATCTGAACACCATTTTTAAGTTTTTAAAATTTTGAAATTTTAGTTTAATTTTTTATTACTTTTTTGTTTGCATAAAAGATTTTTAGTTTATATCATAGTCATAAAATTTTTAGAATATCAATGCTCTTTGGCAGAAGAAATTCAAAAATTAAACCTGATCAATTAAATCTTATTAACTGTTATTAAATCTCTAAAAAGAGATTTAATAACAGGCTTAAACCTAAATCTATATATATATATATATATATATATATATATATGTATATATATATATATATATATATATATATATATATATATATATATATATATATATATATATATATATATATATATATATATTGCTTTGCTTTATATATTATATAACGGGTGATGCATAATTAGTGACACAAAAATCAAAGCCTTATATTTTTAAAGAAATAAAAGAATAAAAAAATTTCATTTTTAAAAAATAATAACACAATATTTATTTTTTAAAAATTATTTTTTGTAAATTGATTGAACGCCTTGATCAGCTATTAATCTCAATTTAGTTTTGATACCCTTCATAAGGGATTGTAAAAATGTAAAATCAATTTTTTTCAGACAGGCTTCGATACGCCGAATCAGTTGTTGTTCACTTTTGGCCTCCCATCCACCCTCATACACATTCTGAGCCAATACTCCCCAAAAGTCTTCGATTGGCCTGGCTTTGGGGACATTAGGAGGGTTCATATCGACCGGCACGAAGTTAATCATTTCATTCATCCACAATATTGCCTCTTTAGCTCTATGGACACTAGCTAAATCCAGCCAAAATATGTAATTTAAATCATCGTGATACTTATCTATGAATGGCAACAATCGTTCCTCTAAGCATTCTTTGATATAAATTTCGGATTTTATTGCAGCCGAGGTTGACGACCGGAAGAGTGGTTTCGACATTCCACGCTCAGATAATGCGATCCAAATGAGAATTTTTTTCGGAAATTTCTCTTTTCCCACAAAATAAACATTTTCTGGACATTTTTCTTTGTTGTTTGTGTAATAACCGGCGTTTCCAGGCATTTCATCGCCAGCAAAACAAAAGTATTTTTCGTCGTCCAAAATTAAAATGCTTTGTTCTTTGTAGAGGTAATTGCCAAGTTTTC